GAATGTCTCATCTTTCTCCAGGAAAGCAACTGGTAGGCTCAAACTGCCGACCTTGCGGTTAACTAGTGCTTATCTTACAGAGCTGAAAGGAGGGGAATGAAGTTATTTCCCTAGCTCTCTCTTTGTAAGATTGCCTTGGGCTAGCTGTACATTCCCCTACCTGTTGTTGTTGTTGTTGTTGTTAAGTGCCTTCGAGTAGGTTCTGACCAATAGCAACCCTGTACAGGGTTTCTAAAGCTACAAATCTTTACAGAAGCAGAAAGCCTTATCTTTCTCCTGCGGAGCAGCTGATAGTTTCAAACTGCTGACCTTAAGTTTCGCAGCCTGATTTGTAACCACTATGCTACCAGAGTTTCCCCTACCTTGTTGTTGTTAAGTGCCTTCGAGTTGGTTCCAACCAATAGCGACCCTCTAGAGGGTTTCCAAGGAGCAACTGGTGAGCTTGAACCACCAACCTTGCAGTTCAAACGGCTTTGCAGTCAGACGCATTGGCCCACAGCACCACACCAGGACTCCTAATCAGCCTTCTGGTGATGCATCAGTTGGAAGATTTCAATTTGTATTCCATCAATTCCTGGAGCCTTGCTCTTTACCGATGCCTTCAATGCACCTTGGATTTCTTCCTTCAGTATCACTGGCTCTTGATCGTATCTTGAAATGGATGAACAACGACCATCTCTTTTTGGTTCAGCGACTCTTCTTTTTACACTTTCTGCATCATTCAATAATGTACCCATTGTTGTTGTTAAGTGCTGTAGAGCTGATTCGACTCATAATGACCCTGTATAGGGTTTCCAAAGAGCAGCTGGCAAGCTTGAACCACCAACCTTGAGGTTCACACCAACCTTGCAATCCAGTGCATTAACCCGCAGCGCCACACCAGGAGTCCAATTTACCCATGGTGGTGTGCCGTGGAATTGGTTCCAACTCATAGTGACCCTGCATAGGGTTTTCCAAGGTGTAAATCTTTACGGGGGCAGAAAGCCTCAACTTTCTCCCATGGAATTGCTGGTAGTTTTGAACTAGCTGACCTTGAGGTTAGCGGCCCGACTCATAACCACTATGCTAATTTAATCATAGAATCTTTTAATATTGAAAATCAAGGCTTGAATTATTTCTTCAGTTCTCTTAGCTTGAGAAATGCTAAGCATGTTCTTCCCTTTGGTTTTCTAACTCCAGGTCTTCGTACATTTTGTTACAATATTTGACTTTTGTCTTATTGAGCTGCTCTCTGACATTTCCTATTTAGCTTTTGTACTTCCTCATTTCTTCCATTTGCTTTAGCATCTCTACATTAAAGAGCAAGTTTCAGAGTCTCTTCTGACATCCATTTTGGTCTTCTCAAAGACCTTTTGCTTTCTTCCTTATTATGATGTTCTTGATGTCATCCCACAACTCTTCTGGTCTTTGGTCTTTAGTCTTTAGTGTCTAATGCATCAAATCTGTTCTTCACATGATCTCTAAATTCTGGTTGCATAGTGAGTTACAGATTGGGCTGCTAACCACATGGTCAGCAGTTTGAATCCACCAGCAGGAAAAAGATAAGGCTTTCTGCTCCCATTAAGATTTATAAACAAATCAGTTAGAGGAAGTACAAGCAGAATGCTCTTTAAAAGTCAGGATGGCAAAACTTTCTCCCTCATACTTTGGTCATATTATCAGCAGAGACCAGTCACTCAAGAAAGACATCATGCTTGGTAAAGGGAAAAAGAGGGAGCCCTCCAAGGAGATGATTGACACAATGGTAGAAGGAATTGGCTCAAATGTAGCAACAATTGTAAGGATGGTGCAAAACCGGGCAGTGTTTCCTTCTGTTGTGCCTATGATCACTACAAGTTGAAACTAATTCCATTACACCTAACAAGAACAACAAAGACTTACAGCCTCGGAAACTCTATACAGGTTGGCTATGAGTCAGAATAAAAGACACACAAACATCACCCACTAAATCATGGATGGGGGTGGGGGCAATGCATTATTTTTGTAACTAAAATAAATAATTAAAATGAAAATCTTGAAAAGGAAATACTTGTACTAGTAAAGAAGGAAGAAAATGATTCATTTGACCACTTTAAAAAAAAAATGTTTAGATTCCAATCAGCAACACATAACAAACAGAGAAATAACAAAACATGGCACAGTATATTGTAATTGCTGTCAATAAGTTATACAGCTGAAAACCCTGACTAGCTGCTGAGGCTGCTTATATACAACCGAACACCCATGGGATTTGATTCCCTGGTTTGGAGATTTAGTCTCATGGGTCATCCCAGCTAACTAGGCTACTCTGTGTTTAGTGCTTCTGTTCTCTTTCGGATAGTGTCTGCGATCTTGAAAGTTTGCAAATAGCCATCCAAATACACAGACTCCTGGTATGGCACTGTAGGACTGGACTGAGAACCACAAGGTTGGCAGTTCAAACCCACTAGCTGCTCCTCAGAAATCCTGTAAGGGGTCTCTAAGAGTCTGAAACAACTGATGGCACTTAGCAACAAGAGCCAAAGTACAAATGGTTTCTGCTAGCCTGGAGAAACAAAGGAAGACCGCACAGGAGGAAAGTATGGAATGCATGGTTGGTTAATTGCCTCCATGAACAACTGCATCATTTGCCAGGAGATCCGAAGAACTCGATGGTGCCTGGCTACCATACTGAACATTCTATTCTAATAAAAGATTCTACAGAAGAAACCTCATCAAATGAGGAGAAATGTGGATTTGAATTTTAAATTCTAACGGACTCCGGACTTTCTGGAGCCCTGGAGATTTTCTGGATGAATTCTAAAACTACTGCCCTGAGATAATCTTTAAAGCAAAACATCCCCTGAAGTCGACTTAAAACTAAGCAATAATTTAGCTTAACTAGCTAAAAATGTCTGCTTTGAGCATTATTATGCTCTTTTAAGGGCTATCTATAGGAGATCAAAGTGGCAACAACTCAGAAGATTAGATAGGAACCTCAGAGGCAGTTGAGTTTGTTAATTGGGGAGCAACAACTGAGACAAGGAAGGCGAGACTGGTTGTACAAGTTGAAGAATGTAATTAATGTCACTCAACTGTTGATGTAGAAATGACTGAATTGGTGTATGTTTCAACAACAAAATTTGGGGGGGGAAATGAGTCTAAAAGGGAATAGGCTAGATATTTCCAAACATAAAAGTCTTCCCAATAGGAGTTATTATGTAAAATACAACCTTAATCACATTATCTTAAACCCCTTACACTATTTTGGGTTGAACCTTCTCTACTAGATTGTGAACTCTCAGAAGATGGTCCTTGAGGCATGGAATGTGGAATCTGACATTCAGAACACCTGCATTCAAAATCAAGATAAAGAGTAAATCACCTTTAACTATTTAGGTGGAAACTGTCAAATAGAAACCTAATTTTCTTGTAAGCCTTCAGTGAAAACACAGTATTATTTTTTTTGGAATACAACTACACTTGAGATTATTCTATGTTATAAGGTCACTGAGTCCAAACTGACTTGAAGACAGGTTTCGTTTTTTTTTAAATAAAAAAAAAACAATAACAACCAACGTCTAACATAATTACCGGATTCTCTTTGAAATTCGACACTTAACACACCCCAAACCCCAAACTCACTGTCCTGGGTTTTATAAAGAAGCTTTAGATACTTAAGAGTAGAACTGTTGCTTATGATTTCAGAAACTGTCAATCTTCGTTGGAGAAAAAAAACTCATCTTTCTCCTGCGGTACTGCCGGTGGATTTGAGTCGCCATTTTACGATTAGCAGCCCACTGCTTAACCCACAACGCTACCAGGTCTCCTAGACCCATTCCCTCACCAGGTGCTACATACACATTCACGTTGCATTTTAATCAGAGCTTATTTTAGCAGGAGTCTGGAAAAGAAAAACACGTGGAACTTAGGGACTCTCAGTCTTCGGAGTTCCAGTTTTCCCAGAAGAGCTCAGGATTGACTAGGCCACCCTAGTAGGAACAGAAGGATCACTAGCACGTGGGCAAACAGTCAAGGTTTGGGGTATTTATGTTCGTTATGACAATAACGGAGTCCTGGTGTGGCTTTGTAGCATACGAACTGGACCCCAAGGCTGGAACCGCAAGATCAGCGATTCGAGCTCACCAATTGCTCCTCGGAAACTCTGTACAAGGTCACATAACCACACACACACATATTTGTTGTTAATGCTGTTGAGTAGGCAAGCCTGTACAGGGTTTCCGAGGCTGTAAATCTTTACGGGAGCAGAAAGCCACATCTGGTAGTTTCGAACTGCTGACCGTATGGTTCGCAGCCCGATTCGTAACCACTGCGCTACCAAAGCTACACACATAGAGAGAGGAGTCCTGGTGTGGCGCTGTGGGTTAAATGCGCAAAACCATTTGAACTGCAAGGCCCGCGGTTCAAGCTCACAAGCCGCTCCTCAGAAACCCTGTATAGGGTCGCTGTGGGTCGGAACCGACTCTACATCACTTAACAACAACAAAATACAGAGACAGATTCCTGTGTGGCGCTGCGGGTTAATACGCTGGACTGCAAAGTAAGTTTGACCCATAAAGTCGGCAGTTCAAGCTCTCGGAAACCTTATACAGGGTCGGAACCGACTCTTCGGCATTTAGCAACAATCGGTAGCGTCTACTAAGGGCTAACCTAGCGTGGTACTTAACAGTTACGTCTAACTTTACACTATCCCTTAAAGTAGCTGCAGTCTTCCACCTTAGCAGGGACTCGCCAAGGTCACGGGGTGGAGCAGGACTCGGCTCCTGCCGCGCGGCCTCGGCCGAGCGCAGAGGGCCCCCGAGGCTGGGGCGTTCCGGGCAGAAAACTACCCCCCGGGGCCCGGCCGCCCGTTCACTTCCCCCGCGCACTTCCCCGTGACCAAGGATTCTGATAAGGATTCAACCTCTCCAGGCTCATCCCCTCGCCAGCGGAATCAACAAGCCCCTCCGCCAAGCCCTCGACGGCTCGCCGGAACCCGGCGCCCCGCCTAGGTTGGCTCCGCACCCTTCTCTAGTGCTCACCGTCACCACGCAGTAGCCCAAAGCATCCTTCTGAGCGTCTGGGAGGACCATGGTCGGGGATGAGAGGCCCAGGTGCAAGAAGTGAACCATGGTGAACCCCCGACGGCCGAACGTGGAAAGGAAGCAGAAATCGAACAGGGTCCCGGATCCCGTGAGAGGCGGCGTCAACCCGCGCCGGGAGGCTGCCACGCGGCGTCGTGCGGAGGGAAGCTCCGCGAGCGGCCCACACTGCACCCCCACCAGTCTTAGCCGCGAAGGTCGTGAAAAGCCAGCGTGGCGACGCGTAGACGCCAGCTGCAGCCTAGCCCCCGGCCCACAGAGGCTGGCCAGTCATAGACCCCGCCCCCAGGGGCGCGCCCACACCGCCCCCACCCCCCCAGGTCGACCACAATCCCACCCCCTCCAGGGTTCCAACCGTCGTCCGTCTGCTCTCCCAACCCGCCTCAGAGAACTACACTCTTCAGTCTCAGAACGACCTCGCTCAAACCCGCATCTTAGGAACTAAAACTGATCACTTAAGTAGTGTGCGGGAATCCAACTACGTGCCTAGAGTTGGGGGGATAGAATGTGGATTTGAAAGTCTTTCCCAATATAGTTGACAAAAGCTTTTTACCACAACTTTTCACAACTCTCACAACTGTGCCCTTTGTTTCAACTCCTAGAGACAATGGATAAATCAAATATCAAAACGACTTTTGCCCTCCTAAGTGCATGAAATGGGTACGAATAATTTTAAAAACACACATAAAAACTCAATATTATCTGAAAAGCACCAAGTCTCATAACTTGCTCCAAGAAAGTAACCCTAAGAGAAGAGTAAAGGAGTACACACACTTTGGCTAATGTAAGAAGAAATAACATTTTGGGAATATATCATTAAGTGTTTGAGACTTGGAGTTGGGATCATGGATTGGAATGCCAGATCCACCATCTACAGTGTGAACTAAAGAGTCTTACTTCTCCACGTCAATTTCCTCATCAGTAAAAAAGGGTTAATGTAAGCATTAAATAAAATAGTCAAAACAACATCACAATATTTGGCATATCAAGCTCTTGATAAATGTTGTCAATTGCTAAAATTTTTGCAAAATTTCTTCCTTTCATCTTCACTCATTTATTTCATCCTCATTAAGGACAAATAATAGGAAAACTGGTGTGGCGCCATAGGATAAACACTGGACCTCAAAGTCGGTTTGAACATCAAGGTTGACGGTTCAAATCAGCTGCTTCTCTCTCAGAAACCCTATACAAGGTGGCTATGAGTTGGAACAACACTTAACAACAAGAAAAAAAAATGGCTACTCCTCTTCTTCCCCTCCCCCCCTTTTTTCCTCCTACCTCATTGGCTTCTTCACCACTGCTCTGTTTGTCCTACTGTGGTGGCTTGTCTGTTGCTGTGATGTTGAAAACTACACTACCAGAATTTTAAATACCAGCAGGGTGTGTTGTTGTTAAGTGCCGTGGAGTCGGTTCCGACTCATAGTGACCCTGCACAGGGTTTCCGAGGCTGTAAATCTTTACGGGAGCAGAACGCCTCATCTTTCTCCCGCGGAACCGCTGGTAGTTTCGAACTGCTGATCTTGCGGTTCACTGCCCGATTCGTAACCACTACGATACCCAGCAGGGTGTAGTGGTTACGAATCCGGCTGTGAACCGCAAAGTAAGCAGTTCAAAACTACCAGCGGTTCCTCAGGAGAAAGATGAGGCTTTCTGCTCCCGTAAAGATTTACAGCCTGGGAAACCCTGTACAGGGTCACTGTGAGTCAGAACCGACTCCATGGCACATAACAACAAGGTCGTCCATGGTGGATAGATTTCAGTACATCTTCCAAGATAAGACAAGCAAGGTTATATTATCTGCATATCGCAAGTTGTTAATGAGTCTTCCTCAAACCTGATACCAAATTCTTCTTCATATAATCAAGCTTCTCAGATTACATATTTGTTCAGCATACAGATTGAACAAATATGGTAAAAGAATACAACCCTGGCACACAGGGTTCCTGATTTTAAACCATTCAGTATCCCCTTCTAAAGGCAGCGCTGCCTCTTGGTCTACGTACAGGTTCCTCATGAGTACAGTTGAATGTTCTGGAATACTCATTGTTTGCAATGCTATCCATAACTTGTCATGATCCATGCATGAATGTATATATGGAATGTATAAAGTATGAATCTAGGAAAATTGGAAGTTCTCAAAAATAAAATGCAACACATAAAGGTCAACATCCTAGTCATTAGTGAACTGAAATGGACTGGTATTGGCCATTTTGAATCAGACAATAAAATGGTTTTCTATGCCAGCAACAATAAACTGAAAAAGAAAAGTTTTACATTCATCATCAAAAAGAGCATTTCAAGATCTATCTTGTATAGTGCTTGCTGTCTGTGATAGTAAAATATTCATATGCCTACAAAGAAAATAAAGAGTCCTGGTGTGGCACAGTGGGATAATGCACTGGACCACAAGGTCACTTTGAACCACAAGGCTGGTGGTTCAAATTCACCAGCAGCAACTCAGAAACCTATACAGGGTCCCTATGAGTCGGAACCAACTCAATGGCACTTAGCAATAACAACAACAAGGAAAATAGTTATTGCCACTACTATTCAAATTTGTGCAATAACTACTAAAACCAGTGAAGATGAAATTGCAGAATTCTACCAACTTCTTCAGTCTGAAATTGATCACACATGCAATCAAGATGCATTGATAAATCAACAAATCAATGAGTTACAATTATTGGCAGTTAGAATGTGGAAGCTGGAAACAAAAGAGGAAAGATCAGTTGGAAAATATGGCATTGGTGATAGAAACAATGCTGGCGATCACATGATAGAATTTTGCAAGAAGAGTGACTTACTCATTGCAAAAATCTTTTTTTTTCAGCAACATAAAAGATGACAATACATGTGAGTCTCAATAGAGGGAATACACAGGAATCAAACTGATTACAACTGTGGGAAGAGAAGATGTAATCTCCCCTAAACAAGGCTGGGGACAACTGTGGAACAGATTAGATTATCCGTTGCTCATATGAAAGTTCAGGATGAAGCTGAAAAAGATTAAAACAAGTCCACAAGAGCCAAAGTGTAATCTTGAGTGTATCCCACCTGAATTTAAAGACCATCTCAAGAACAAATTTAATGCATTCACTAATGTGAAGACCACAAAAGTTGTGAGATGACATCACGAACATCATCCATGAAGAAAGGAAAATAGGTCATTAAAAATACGGAAAGAAGAGGAAAAAAAAGAGTAACCTGATACAATTTGATGAACTTGACCTACACCTATGGATGCAGTGGCTCAAAAGAGGGAACAAATCTTTACAGCGAGGATCATTCCCACCCCCTCCATACACAGAGTAGACAGAGATGGGCACCTTGGACATTGACTGCCCAAAATGGGGGTGCTACCAAGGCAAGAAGTGACTGGTTTACAAGCTTTCAAGAGGGAGCTGAGAACCAGAGAGCACGGAGGCAGGTAGGAATCTCCACTGAGTAGTATCCAATCTTTTGGCCTGGCTGATGAAAAGAGATGGGGACAGGTCTCTTGTGGTACAATAGTGAATAATTGCTATCAGGACTGACTGTGAGGGTTAGAAATGTAAAGGTAGATATTTTGTAGCAAAAGGAGAGGAGTGGTTGACTTTGCAGTCCAGGAGTGGAGGTCCATCAAGGGAGAAGAGCGGAGTGCGGGACCCTACCCAGAGAAACACTGATGCCAGAGATGGAGGCAGAGATGATGACGAGGAGAGATGGAGAGGCTGGGGACTCTAGACCCAAGAGGGGCTGTGTGCTGATGATGGGGGTGGGGTGGGGGCAGGCTTGCAGGGTATACCCTTTGGTTGGTTAATGATGCGTGGAGGGGATTGTAACCATGGCAATGAAACAATATACGATAGGATGTAAGCTAATGTTCTTCCATGTAAACTATCACATAATTCACAATTGTTGTTGTTGTTAAGTGCCGTCGAGTCGGTTCTGACCCATAGCGACCCTGTACAGGGTTTCCGAGGGTGTAAATCCTTACGGGAGTAGAAAGCCTCATCTTTCTCCCGCGGAGCGGCTGGTAGTTTCGAACCGCTGACCTTAAGGTTCGCAGCCCGACTCGTAACCACTACGCTACCAGAGCTCACAATAAAACATTATATATTTAAAAAAAGTAGATACAGCAAAAATGGTTCAATTTCTCCCATTTCTATCCTGGTCAAGAGAGTAAAAAGGGAAATGACAGGATGTGTCCTTCAGTTAAACCATGACAGTGGGCTGCAAATTATTAAAGTTATCCCCACAGGATCCCTATGCCCTATCCCACATGTAGGAGAATCTGCCATTTGTGCTTCTTAAAAATAAAAGTTATAAGTAATTTAAAATAAAAAATATGGAAAGAAGAAAGAATTGACAAAAATGGATCTCAGAAGCTATTCTTAAACTTGTTCTTGAATATAGAGAAGATAAAATGGAAGAAATGATGAAGTAAAAGAATTGAACAGAATATTTCAAAGGGTAGCTTTAGAAGACAAAGTCAAAAAATGAAAATCTGGAATTAAAAAACCAAAAGGGTGAATGTGAAGCTGATGATGTGCCCTGTAAACTTTCACTCAATCCAAAATAAAAACATTTAATTAAAAAAAAAAAAAGAGTATAGGGAGAAAGAAAGAGTCCCCACTGAATAGTTTTCATCTTATCTAGATGTGTCTGGTGAAAAGAGATGGGGATAAGATCAGTATGATTTAATAGTGAATAACTGTTATCATGACTAACTGTGACTGTCACAATTGTAAATGTAGAAGTTTTGTAACAAAAACAGGGGAGTGGTTAATCTTATAGTTCAGAAACAGAGGACCCTAGGACCATCAAGGGAGAAAAGCACCAGCAGAATGCGTGACCTTATCCAGAGAAGCAGTGACACCAGAGATGGAGGCAGAGATGGGGTCATGGAGATAGGGAGCAGCTAAAGACCCTAGATTCATGGGAAGAGAGGGACTAAGAGCTGATGGCCAGGAGGCAGACTTGCAGAATGTGCCCTTTGGAGCTGTAAATTATTATATATGTCTGAGTGTGTTTTTTTTTTTTAAAAAAAA